CTTCTTTCACCTGTTGCTGGCTCCTCTGCAATGCTAACACCGTTCTGATTTCCTTCTGAGATGTTTCCACATCATGCTTTAGTGCCTTCTGTCCAGCCTGCATTGCCTCCTGGCTAGCTTTCACTTCTGCCAACAGAGCAGCAATGCACTCCATCCCAATCCCACGGGAGTCACAGGACCTCTTCCAGTGTCACAGCTTCCAAGCAGTCAGGGACATTTGTGAGCCAGTATCAGATTTCCCCTGATGGCAAGAGAGCTAGCACACAGCCCTTAGTATGGTATCCTACCACAATTTACAGCACCCTGCAGTGAAGGTACTTGGTAAAAGTCTCGTACAAGGTGAGCCAAAGGCACTACATGAAAGACTTCAACAAGCAGGGCTGTAGTCAGAGCTCCTTCTCAGGACTCAGCCAGAGCACTAATCAGTTTAATTGGCATATTATGCCACACCTGAATTTTTAAAAATCTTTTGCTGACATCATTGTACGTGGGACGTCACCCTAAAAGCCACTCCCAACAGTCATTTGATCTGTGCATCAATCAAAGTATGCCTGGGCATCAGTAACAGGTTTGTTGCAATGCAGCCAAACACTCTGCGAGAACACAGTGGCCCTTCCTTTACAACACAAAGGCTCAAAGGAAGCCTGAATCACCTGCAGGAGCTGAAAGCCAAACAGCTCAACAATGTGTACTTATTTCAATTGTATATTCAAGGTGATTATGTACCTGTCCTTCTGCTAATGGAAGGTTCAGATATACATCTGTGGACACATTTGATATTGCCCCACTCTCACTAAGTGTTCTCCTTATTCACACAGCAAGTAATACCCTTCTGGCAATCTCTGGAAAAGATTGTTTCCACAGTTCCTGAGGAAACCCTCTAATCCACAAACAATGAAGATTAATCACAGCAACATGGGAAAAATTACTAATGGGATATTTTTGCCATGTTAAGGAGGCCAGGCCTTTTAGCTACCAGGTCTGAGTGTTAACTTTTCTCTGGAAAAGCTGAGGCTTCTTACTTTTAAGCACAAAACTCTTAATAGGTCTAGGTTCCATGTGAAAACAGGTAGATTAATGGCACCAGACTGCTAGCTGTTGTGTTATACAGCAGTTTAATCACCCAGCTACTGGATTCAGTTTGGAAAAAATTACCAATACCATGCAGACCTTGGTCTACAGAAGGTGTCAGTCTCTGCTTTCAAAGGGGTGAGCAAGTACTCAGCACAACACCCGACAGAACAGGACTCAGACCACACAAGCTGGAGCTCAGGAAAACTTATACACTACACCTTTGGCCCTGTCATGACTCCAGGATGCTTTCAGAGGCAGTGATGATCCCAGAGCAGAAACCCATACTATCTGTCAAAAACTGCAATAACTCCCATCAGCATTGTAGTGGGCTGAAAAGCATCACTAGGAATGCCAATAGCCTGTGCATGCAGAGATCCAGGATTTCCAAATCACCACAGCTCTGCTGGCCAAAAGGCCAGTCTGGGGACTCCTGCCTTCAGTGAAAGTTTACTGCTGATTTGCCAGTTCTCTTCCTACACTAGTCCAGGCACACTAATGGGACCAGGAAGATATCAGAGATGGCCCCTCCACATAGAGTACCTCATGGCTTGTAGGTATTCCCTGACTCTTGCTATCACAGCCCCAGGTGAATAAAAAGTCGATGGTAGAGTTTTTTTCCAAGTCTCTCTATCACCTGCTAGAAGGACAGACATGGACTTTCTGATGGGATTTCCCAGCACAGCTACAGACCATAGGTATAGTCTCTTCCCCTTTTGGCTCCTTGCCCTGTTCCTAGCTGAATAGCCATCCTGAGAGCTCCTAAGCATTATTATTCACAGTCACCACTAAAGACTAGTTCATGGGTTACAGAAGCCCAATCTGAAGTCTGAATCCAGATAACATCTTTGACAAAAGATTTAGGTAGGTGAAGAGAGCCAGGTAAGAGCAGTAGCAGTATTTCTGCATCCTTTGACCATCAGCTGCAGTAATTCAGCTGAGTAGTGTAAGTTTTCATTCCACTCTTCACCATATCTTAGTGGTTCCTAAAAATCTCACTTGGTGAAACATTTGCAAAGATCTTGTCAGACAGCAAAATCCATCTGAAATTACTTCCACTGGTTCTGTTGTGATACAGCTGGAAAACAGGTGAAAAGGAGGGTATTACCAGACTCATGGATGTAACCTCCAAGATCTAAATCTTGCTAGAAGCTTTAGGCAGTTAACATGAATCCTGTGTTTATACTCAGATAAATAGCTCAAGTGCCATCCTGCATAGGTTTCACTTTCTGATGATTTTGAAGAGTGATTCCCTGAAGCAGTGATTTCAGTTGAGTTAACAAAAAGACAAAACCAAAAAACTAAAACCAAACCAAAACACTCCCACCAAAAAAAAAGGTTTGGGGGTAAAAAAAGTCTCCAACTGATATCCCTTGGTCCCTCTGTAGTGGAACAGGTTCCTGCAGACACTGACTCAGAGCAGAATCCTAACTACATCAACGAGTGCTTGAGGGAAGCTTTTCTCCATAAGCTACATTGAAAGCCTGGCTGACAAAGCTCAGGTGACTAAATCAGGTGCTGCAATTGTCATTCCTGTCCAACATCACCAAATCCAAAAGCTGCAGCCTCCTTTCTAAAGCGTGTGCACCCACCATAATTGTCAAGTGCTCTCTGCTATAATGTAATACACTGAAGGAAACCTGTCCTTGGAAGCTGGTCTCTTGCTCTATATGAATACATTAATTCTATCCAGGATGCAGTCAATGTGTTTGGTATCTTCCTCACTTAAACTAAGACGGGCTGATTGATCATAAGGAATCTTTGTCAATTTGTAAAGATCACCCTCTTGACATAGACTTCAGGCAGATTTCCTTTACTTTTCTCCACTCTGGAAGACACTCTTTAAAACCTTACCTAAAATTAAACTAACACTACAAAGCAAATTTTAAGTCCACAGAAGTTGCTGCTACTCTGAATTTTACAACCTGTCTCTCAACAGGAATACTTGATAGCTAATGACAGATGGAGAACATCTTATCAATGCACAAGTTTCCAAACCTAGAATTCATTGGCTCAGGATTACCCATTTCACCTGCTATATATCAGCTTCTGCTCTAGCTAAGATGTCTCTATTCTTGATCCATCTCAAGTGTCTTAACATCTTTTCCTGTTTAGGAAAACAACTCCTGATTTCATAGACTAACATGAATCAACCACTGTCGAAGATTTCCTCTCAAAAGTACATTAAAGATTAGGGCAGAACAAAAAAGGACTATTTTACTTAAATAAAGTCTGGTCTATTTTGTGTGAGGCATGTTTGATGTTTTTGGAGGGGTCTTTTGTTTTGTTTTTAAGGTATTTCTTTCACATTACAGAAACACAGAAATCTTTTAGACAATTACCAACCAGCAAACACAAAACCTCCCCTATTTCTACAGCTCTAATTATGTCTCCCCCCCATCACAATGTGTAAAAGTTATTTGAGCAATGAAACAGGAAGACTGATCAGCCATTTAATCTCATGACTGTAATTTTAAAGTTTGCCTTGTGACAAGCTATGGCCATTAGGAGAGGACAACTTAAGAACATTCATGCAAATAAGGAAGCTGCTGGGTTTAATCTGCAGCAGTACGTACATGATGTTTGAGAGAACCTGGAAATTCAGTTAGCTGTAGATTACCACCTTAAATTCCTCCCAGACTCCTGCTCTGGGCTATAATATAACCCAGGTCGGGCAAATACACAGAGAAAAGAGTCACAAAACTAAATTAATGGTGTCTGCAGAGGGCCTGGCAAGGCTGGACTTGGATGGAAGTCTTCAAACTCCTCCCAGGCCCTTCACATCTTGGTCAACTGTAATTTTTGCCTGCATCCATCTTGGCAAGTGGTGAACACACACCTTCCTCCTGTGCCTCTCACAGTCCAGGCTGGTGATTGTAACAACACAGACTTCTGAAGAAGTCATGTTTTGTTTCTAAGCTCTGCCTCAGGCTTGTCTGTATAAGCTGGTGCAGACAGTCCCAACTCGCTCTGTTCACACTTCAAGCATGCCAGTTAGGAGCCAGTTCTAGTTCACAGCAAAGAGACTTCATTTTTCAGAGTTGTACCCAGATAACCTGCTTAAAATGCTGTACCTCAGAAGCATCTTTATCTGTGGACTTGTCTCAAAGCAAATGAGCAAAGAGAAACAGCTCTTCTCGTCTTGCATCTCCCCCTGCATCAACATGATGTGAAGCCCAAGACGACAATTAAATGCTTCCTAAAGCAGTACAGCAGCTCTCCCTTTCCTCTACTCTTACTGTAACCTCCTGAGTTACCATGTCTAGTACTAGCCCATGTCCAGGAACATAAGCTTATTTCAGCTATCATCAAATCCTTTTCAAGTTGCTCTGAAGAAACCAATCAACCGCTACAGAGGCTTTTAAGAAAGACGCAAGAACTGAACAAAATTTAATTGCAGGGAGGTGAAACCTGACTTAGATGCTTAAACTGACTCAGCAGGAGTAAAACACACAGCAGAAATCTCTCTGCCTTTTTTTTTTCAGGGGTACAGAGGTTCTTCAGCATGTATTTTTTAAATGCCATACAGCCTGGAGGGGGAGTGCAGAGTCATCACTTATTATTGCAGGCATTCGGTTTGAAGTACTGTTCCTGAAGTCTCTGTTTATCCTCATCCACTGACTTTATTACAGCACTGACTTGTAGCCTCGGTGCAAATCCATCCCTTTTCACTCTCCACTTCCAGACAGAACTGGATATTATCTTTATGCACACAATAATGAAAAGGAAAGGGAAATCTCAGACGTATTTATGTTCTTCTAAAATCTCCCATTGGTTCCCATAACATTTTTTACTTTATGTACCACAGGTGTGCTTTACAGAAACACTAGTTGGGCTTTGAACACCTACTATACATTTATTTTGCCTCTGCATTCACAATGAATTTTGTCAAGTTTACAGGAACTCTAATATGTAGAACTGAATTAAGTTTTCATAGCTCAGTTGGTTAGAGCATGGGTCTAATGATGCCAAGGTTGTGGGTTCAATCCCTCTATGGCAGTTCACTTGTGAGCTGAACTCAATGACCCTTGTGGGTCCTTTCCACCTCAGAATATTCTGCATCATTCTTTGTGATCTAGCTAGTAAATATCAAGCATGAATATGAGTCACATGTCTACTACAGAGATAAAAACATTACTAAACCCACCATACATTCAGAGATGACCACAATCAAAACAAACTGGGAATGCAATGCAATTCACAGAAAACAATTCTAACATCCACCAGATAAACTACCATTTTTTTAGAGTTCTCCCAGTTATTTTCCAAATTTTTTTGGGTGATATTGATGCTGGATTTTGGTTTTTTTGTTTTTGTTTTGTTGG